GGACCAGGGGGTGTGGGGGCACGCCTAGGTGCTGGATTCGTCGTGCCAGCCACCTGCGTCCTTTCCCGCCTCCAGTCCTCTCGACTCAGTCTTGACGATGGACTCAGGTGGGGAAGAAGGAGAGGGCCTTGTGAATGTAGCTCAGGTCCACTATCCCTATAGGTTAACTCACGCGTAAGTCATCGTTCCTGCTGTCACTCTGCTGTGGGGCACACAGTAGACATCGTCGATCACAACGGTCGAACTGTCGTGGGAGCAAATCCCACGGGCTTGTCCTAGCTCACGTCAATTGTAGCATTTGAGATGTGCGTGCTTTGTACCACCTTGGCAGACGATCACTTCCATTCTACTGTCCTCTGGTCCGCCGGAGGACGCTCTTCAACATGGGTCCTTTAGCAAGCACGTAAGTCAACCGTTGTCAGCATGGATGAAAAACTTTGGCACCCGAAGGCGTGTGTTTGATCGGGTTTTAAGCGCCCTGGCAATAACTCGAAATCAGGATTTGCTTTTGCCACAAAAACATCATAACAAATATTTCTAAGGCAAACTAGTTGGGTAGGTGTTTACTAATCGATAGGCATAAGTGACAGCATGTATAGAATTATGTCCATCAAAAAGCGAGTTATTTTCTCAATTAATTACTTGGGGACTAGAAGTTGGTCATCGTTGAAGAGTATAGAGAGCATTAAGTTTGCATGAATGTTAAGAAAGTTTAAATATGTCGCTGCTAAACTTATAATTTTCTTCAATTTCGCTTAAAACGGCGACTATAAATCCAAATCCTAGCAAAAGCAACTTACTTCATGATCTTTAAGCTGTCGTGTTCTACCATTGCAAAACGTACTCTGCCTGAAATGCTGTCTTATTTCATTAATTAAACGACATCCTGACCTTATATCATATTTCACGGGTAGAAGAGGATATACTGCAGGCAATTTGCACGAGAAGCACAGAAGAAGACGTGGAAGAGACTGGGATGGTCACTGTCGGTCTACTAGCTATACTCAGTCAGCCTGCTCTATCCCAATCCCCGGGTTCGATAAGTCGGGGCGCAAAGTCCGACTATTCATTAATTGGTAAATCAACCATTCTACCGCAATGGCACGGGTTTTTTGATTCACCGTATGCGATCCGAGATATGAATTATCAACTGAGGAGGTGTACTACCCGATGACCAAGGAGACTGAATGCGAGTTCCCGGTTATCCAAACCCGGGGTTGGGGGATGACCGGCTGGGGACGAATAATGAGTCAGAAATGACCATCATTGTTTCTTGTCTTTGTTGATAATCTTCCGGCATTGCAGTTTCTGTTTAAGAACGAAGCACAGTCGATTTATCTTGTATGTAGAACCTGATATGTACATCTCATGTTTCATACCAGTACTAAACACATTCTTGAATTTTTGTGATTATTCACATTCTCTGACAGATCATAACTTTCAAACAGATGTAATCAAGACCTACAAAGTAAGTGTTGAATGGTGACCTGTCGACCTTGGTATGTTCTTGAAAAGGAACATGTGCCAAAAGTATATACTACGGAACGGATGCGAGATCTTTGTGAGGTCATTTTGTTGGAAGAATAATTTGATGTTAGATAGGGAACATGATCGATCCCCTTCTCTCCCCCTCTCGCCCCCCCCCGCCCCCCAAAAAAGAGGAGAAAGCAACGCTTCATGAGTTTTGGGTTCAATTGGATACATGATATTCAATCCTAGTAAACAAACCTGTTTAGTACCAATAAGAATAATGCCGTTCAGCAGTTAATTAATGAAGGAAACTCACTTTAATAACTTCTAGTAAAAAACGGCATCACCCATCGGTTTTTTGATATGCGTAATCAGGAAGCGGAGCCGTTTATTACAAATATCAGACGAATATGTTTATTCAGGAATGCTTAAGTTACCAAAAAACGTCAGTAGTCTTTTTATTTACAATTTAACTTGTGTGCGAGACCTTGACGTTGCGGGTGTTCATATGCCCACGTCCATCTTCAACAATCCGAAATTGCCCTGCAATTCGAACACTACGTGGATGGGAATGACGAGGTGCATGCCGTGTGACTCTCCTTCACTGAAGTCTTAATTACGCACAAATCGCCCCTACGCCCTCGAGATAGTGGTAATCATCGTCGCTGGCGAATTACCGGACTACTCACTAAGATGAAACTTCTACGTCGCATCAAGTCACAAAAAGGGTTGGGAACTATAAACAGATATTGTGGTAGTTAGTCGGTTGGTGGGTCATGTGGTCCTGCTCTAAAGTCATTGTTTGTAAATTTAGTAGCTTCTCAGCAAACCGAAAGTCATTCTTTTGAGTCACACATGTGTGCATATGGTTGAGCATCTGTCTATCAGAGCAAAAGCACTTTCAGATCCTAACATACATCACAATCAGTCTATTTAAGGTTTGAAGATACGCCTTCCAGTTGCAGAGGCACATAGATATGTCAACCGCTCAACAATGAACAGACGAGGAGAAGAAAATAGTAAACTCAAGTATCTATTCTCTGAAGTAACCTGGAAAAGAGCTTGAGTCGTCGAAAGAACACCTTATCCTGCAAACTCGAAAAACAAAGTATTTAACAGGCAATCTTCGTTTGCCGCTTGTTAGCTCCCTCGGCTTGGGCAAATATGGATTGGTAGAAGTTACTTAGTATAAGTACACTGGTCTTTCTTCAGATTAGTAAACGGGATGCCTTTTGGGTGACGTTGGGAATAACAAGAAAAAATAACAGCATGGGATAAACTAAGCACAGTAACAAAAATAGGGGAGAGCACGTTTATAGGTACCCACGTATTACAGGTGGTCTTGCGCTTAATTCCAGAGGACTAGAGTCAAGGTTGAGGCTAGTAGTAATTTTTGGGTTGAGGGGATTAGAGCTAAGGTTAGGGTCAGGGTTAAAGTCAGGACACTGGAATAGGTCCTCCCTGCGGTTTAGCGCAAGGTCGACTGTAATACGGGAGTGCGTATGTTCGTGTTTAGTCAAAAATAGAACCGATATGCATACACACAGAGACCGTCATCGTGAGTTCGTTGCATTAGTGTCATTTTATCTCATGAGACCCGACCAATCAATAAGAAGTTTACGGCTAAACCTGTTCAGGGAAACATATGACCTTCGGTTTCTTTCGCTGTTTCTTCGAATAGCCCAACGTTATACGTCTTTAGACCCTCGATAGCAGGTGCCGACAACAAAATGAGAGAGTGATGAGGGTATAGCAGAATCGTTGCATGGAAACTGAAGTTCCTGAGAGCCCACACCCTATGGGGGTGTTAATACACGGTAGTCGACAATAAGAAGCATCCCAGGCCAAAAAGACAGGAAGGCAGAATAGGTAGGATGGTCAGTTCTGTGGTAAAGGGCCTGCAGGCAGCTCAGAGGCCGGTGACTTTATCTGGTTCACTGTGCTGAGAGCTGACCACTGACGTTCGTCAGGGCGTGAGGCGTAAGAGGGATGTAGGAGTGTCCAGCGGTGGGTTCATGTGACGGTCGTAGTAGGTTGGTCACTTGCTCGCAGGTGCAGACTACGCCTAGCCTCCATTTGCTGGCACCCAACTCTCATATGTGGCTCCACGAAGCTAGGCTCTGCCTAGTGGCCACACCCAGGTAACCGCCTCGACCGGCGGGCTGAACCAGGTGAAGATATCCGCGTGTGCATTTCCGCACACGGTAATGCCCCGTTGAAAGCATTATCAAAGAGGCATTACACTGGCGTATTTTAACTCCGATGACTACCCTAAAGTATTTTAACTACCCTCACGCAAAAGCCACTGCGAGGTCTTTCTATTTCGTTCTCTAGCACGTAAAAATAAGTATCGCCAGTTTTGTATCTTTTGACACACTTGCTCCCTGGAGTAAGCAACCCCGGCCATAAACCATACCCTTGCACTTAGCTCTACCCTAACCCCGAATTTAACCTTAAACCTAGCCCTAAACTTACTAATCCTAGACCTAAGCTTAGCCCCAATTCCCCCTGGAATTTAGCGTAAGGTCGGCCGCATTACGGGGGATTCTATTTTCTCGTGTCCTAACAAATGAGGTTTCGAAACTTCCTGACAGTCCGACCGTCGTCGCCGACGATGTCCACCGTGCGCTCCACTGAAGTGTGAAGCAGACACTGTAACTTGCGCGAGAATTGGTTTATAGTGATAGTGGACTTGCACGGCGCCTACTGCACCCTCTTTTCCCCACTCCCCACCTGGACCCGGTGTCAAGACAGAGCCAAGAAGACCGGAGGTGGGGAAAGGCGCAGGTGGCTGGCACGACCGGATCCGCACCTAGGCGTGCCACCACACCCCCTGGTCCATAACACACAGTTGACTAGGATTTTTTACCACCAATAACAACACCCAAGCAGGGGTCAGAAAGACGAGGATGACTGGGCGGCCATGCCCACCACTTGTGTACCTAGCGGAAGCGCTAGCGCATCTACCGACAGGGAACCAGGTGTCGGGGAACTGCCAGCAGATACCAGGCTGTGCGGCCCATGGTCTGCTGATCCTGACATAGAACACGCTTTCAGACCTTTTGATCTAGAAGGGGGACACGTGTCCCTGTATTTAGCTCGGGCTGTCACCCTTCAAGGTTAGGTAACCAAACAGTCTTCGACTGAGAAGCACTACCCATAAAGCACACATTCAAACACAAACACTCTCCTCACATGCATGAGAGTGTCACAGATCGCTTAAGGAGGGGCCGTGACAGCCTGGCTCACAGCTCACCAGTCTGCCACTCCACACAACACATAACTGGTAGACTGCGTGAACTGAGTTGGGGCGTCAGTCAGTTGTCTTCCGAGCCACGATACTCGACGCCCTGTGGCCGTCTCATACTGTGATCACACATGTAGCAGGGGAACCGCATGGAGAAGGAGCCGAGGCGCACACTTCCCACTTGCGTGGGAGGTGACAGTTGGGTGCTTGTGATGGGTGATGTTGATGTGAGGTGAGATGTTGGTGAGGGAGGATGTAATGGTGCGGGACAGCCGAGGGTTGTCTACCACAGGTTTTCGGAGACGCTCATGTGGCCTAATAGACCCATGTGGTGAATGGATGTGCGAGTGCGATGTGGACAGTGGAGCCGAATGGGGCGAGTGTAGATTGGTGCTCCAGGCACTGGGTCGTTAGTCCCCGTGCGATGGATACGCAAGCGACCGACCAGGCCGATGTCTGAGATGAATATGCGGAGACAGTGTGGACACGAGAAGACGGTACTATCAGTGGCAGCCACGGTGATGGCGGTGGTGGAACTGGTGATGGTGGGCGAGCTGGATGATGGCGTATGGGTTGAGCTGAGCATGATGGATGTGCGGTATGTATTGAGTGTGATGGAGCTGGTGGCGGTGGGAGCGCAGGGCGGCAGAGTGTGGGCGGAGCTAGGCATGGTGGGTGTACCGGATGTGTTAGATGTGTCGAGATTGCGATCAATTCCGCCCTCGTAGACACGCGTGTGGCTGAATAGGCCTATGCGGTGCATGAATGTCCGAGGACATTGTGGGCACTGGAGGTGAATGCGGCGGGTGTAGGTTGGTGCTCCAGGCACTGGTTCGTCCATCTCTGTGCGATAAATTCGCACGTGACCGACCAGGCCGATGTGTGAGGTGAAGGTGCAGTCGTAATGAGGACAGGCATAGACCAGGTCCTCATCACCGGTGTTGACGGTGGTGGTGTTAGTGTCTGTTCGTGTGTCAGGATTGTGTGTAGTGTTGATGGGCATGACAGACGTCACAGCGGCAGACGTTAGGGCGGTGGCGTAGGAGGAGGAGGAGGAGGAGGAGGAGGAGGAGGAGGAGGAAGAGGAGGAAGAGGTGGAGGCCAACGTCTAGCTCGAACTCCCGCCCTCTCTACACGAAACACTCAGGGCTGTGCATAAGCTCTCAAGCAGAAAGCGCCCTGATCGTTCGCGATCCCTGCTGAGATCTACAAGCACGATTGCCCCCAACCCATGGATCATCTGACGGCGCTCTTCCAGGAGATGTGACGTCAAGAGAAATTTGGTGGGATTTCAAAAACGCCACAATCGTTCATCTATACAAGCGGAAATGAAACCGCCAAATCAGCAACAACCACCGAGGCATTTCCCTGCCGAACATTTCCGGGAAGATTCTCGTTTACCTTCTTCTCAACCGCATGAACAGCCATCTGGAAGAGGATCTCCTGCCGGAAAGCCAGTGCAGCTTCCTCCGTCATCGTGAAACCACATATATTTTCGTCGTCGCCCAAACACAGCAATAGAAGTGTCAGGAGATGCGGATCCACCTGTACTCTACATTCGTGGATCTGACGAAAGCCTTCGACACGGTGAATCGCGAAGGATTGCGGAAAACCATGCGGAAAGTATGCTGCCCCGAATTACTCACTCAGATGGTACGTTAGCTCAACGATTGCATGATGACACGAGTCAAGGACTACGGAGCTGTCTCAGAGGCATTCGCAGTGACCAACGGAGTGAAGCAGAGCTGTGTCCTCGCACCTAAATTGTTCAGTCTAATGTTCTCTGCCATGCTGATGGACTCCTACCGTGACGAACGCCTAAGATCCGCGTCGTCTACAGAAAGAACGGTCAACTGCTCAACCACAGCAGGATGCACTTCTAGTTGCGTGTATACAAAAACAGCGTTTACGAACTTCTGCTCACCGGTGACTGCGCCCCCAATGTAACTACTGAAGGAGAAATTCAAAGGAGCATTGATATCTCCTCCGCCGCCTGCGAGAAATTCGGCCTGATCATCAGCAAGGAAAAGACGTGGTTGTTTCGACCGTGAGGTTTGGGTCGGCGGCGTGGTTCCCCAGCAGTCTTTAGGGCACCTTTTCTGGCCCCTTCACCCTTGCTGGGGCAAGCAGCACTTTCCCTAAATAAGGCTGCTCAGTTGTCCGAGGCGGCTGCCGAACTCCACTACAGGCCACGTATTTGTTTAGTGAAAGAACGACCCGAGTAATCCCGAGACAGTCTACGACAACGCCGTAAGCTTCTGGCGGGGTACCAGACTGAGCCTCGTCTGGACGATGTCGAAGCAATAATCCACCCGGCAAGCAATAAGACAGGCAAGAATAGGGTTGCCCTTATGTGCGGACGCGGCCGAACTCCAGTATGCGCCACGACTTTTATTGTAGTGGAAGAACGATTCGAATTTGCCAAAAGCTTCCGAAATCACCGTAAGCCCGCGGATTCCTGCGGTGCACCAGATGGTGCCGCGTCTCGGCGATGCCGATGCGGAGATCCATCCCGCCGGCTGACCAGCGGCGTACTAGACGCAGCCTCGTCACGACGGTGCCGGCTCGGTGTTCCATCCGACCAACCGTCCAGCGGAGTCGGCAATACCCTGTGCGCGGAGCACAAGGCGCACACGGAGTACCCGCCCACACCTGGTTTTGCCCGCAGATCGAGGCGGTTACCGGGATGTGGATGCTAGGAAGGACCTAGATTCGGCAGTCTCAGATAGCGTTGGGTGCCAGCGAATAACGCTAGTCTCAGTCTACACCTGCGGACCCACCTGTAGTCTACCTTCGTGAATCTGATAAAAACCTTCGACACAATGACTTACTAAATCTGTCAAGCGGACCCAACGATGGACACCACTACGCACTAGCAGACTTGATCCAGCACCGTTGATAGGTCTTTGAAGGTGGACAAATCCGGCGCTAAAAGGATACTATCAAAACCTCTCTGAAATGCATGCAGATCAACCCGGCAAATTAGAAAGATCTCGCCTGGGACCGACCTGCTTGGAGGAGTACAGTGAAGACAGGTGCAGCAGTCTTCGAAGCCAACCACATCACCGCAAGCAAAGCCAAAGGCGAGACACGCAAATCTCAACTGCCGTTGCCGTCGCCGCCGCCGCCTCACAACGCCAACGTCCGATCGCCTCCAACGTGTCTACAATGTCAACGGACATTCCGGACACAAATTAGACTTGTTGGGTACCTCCGGACCAACTGCAGCACCCGGATTGCACCAGCTGTCGTCTCTCCGTCCACATATCCGTCGCCTTCCATGCCGTCAACTAACGTTGGCTGCCTTCCCGAACCGCCAATACCGACCTCCTACTCCTCCTCTTCCTCCTCCTCCTCCTCCTCCTCCTCCTCCTCTTCCTCCTCCTCCTCCTCCTACGCCACCGCCCTAACGTCTGCCGCTGTGACGTCTGCCATGCCTATCAACACTACAGACAATTGGTCAGAAGAAGAAGCGGTCGTTGGAACAATGGCTTTATTCGCCTGACGTTTCGGATTCTCTCTTGAATCCATCATCAGAGACAGCTGCAGAAAAGGGTGGCTAGTGTACCGGAAGTCGCGGCATTTATAGGATGCGGTCGCCATGCTACCGCATACCTACAGCAATTAACCGTGCTCCCCTCATCAAGGATTGTTGCCCGCTGGCGCGCTAATTGCTTGATGGCCGGCATGCAAGTTGTTAAATGCTGACATCTCATCACCCGTGTTGGATGCTGGCGTGATGATTGCTCGGCCATCTGGCTCAACGGCTTGCTCGCTCCTCGAGTGGTCAATTGCTTTGGCCAGTTTATGCCTCAGGACAGAATGTGGAGTGGGGATGATGTTGCGCTTGTTGATAGACTGAGGTCCCGTGAACCATGACTCAAGCAACTCGCGGATCACGCGATTATCCCCTCTCGCGAGAATTTCGGTCTCATCGAACTTGATGAGGACATATTCCAGTGTCCTGACTTTAAACCTGACCCTAACCTTAGCTCTCATCCCCCCAACCCTAAAATTAATACTAGCCTCAACCTTGACCCTAGTCCTCTGGAATTAAGCGCAAGACCACCTGTAATACGTGGGTACCTATAAACGAGCTCTCCCCTCTTTTTGTTACTGTGCTTAGTTTATCCCATGCTGTTATTTTTTCTTGTTATTCCCAACGTCACCCAAAAGGCATCCCGTTTACTAATCTGAAGAAAGACCAGTGTACTTATACTAAGTAACTTCTACCAATCCATATTTGCCCAAACCGAGGGAGCTAACAAGCGGCAAACGAAGATTGCCCGTTAAATACTTTGTTTTTCGAGTTTGCAGGATAAGGTGTTCTTTCGACGACTCGAGCTCTTTTCCAGGTTACTTCAGAGAATAGATACTTGAGTTTACTATTTTCTTCTCATCGTCTATTCATTGTTGAGCGGTTGACATATGTATGTGCCTCTGCAACTGGAGCAGTTTAACAAGTTACCCTTCCTGTACGTCCTCATGTTTAGAGAGGATAATGGTTCAATAAGACGCTCCGTCTTCCACAAGATTACGTGGAAAGGGCAATACTTACATTTTAAAAGCTTTGCGCCAATACAATGGAAACGTAATCTAGTACATACTCTTTTTCAAAGAGCGAGAAATATTTGCTCCAGGG